AGAACATAGAACGTTCAGCACAATGTTGAATGACATAAATGAAATAAATTAAATGAATGACTTTTGATGTCTCGCCAATTCCAGACTTAAAAGAACCTTGAAAACAATTGCTCCTTAAAAGATGCAATGAAGATACTACAATTTTTCCCTGAAGTATAAATGTAAAAGTTTTTCTTCCAAGGGTCTAAAGAACTCGTTAAGATTGAGATAAAAGGGAGCAGACTACAGTCTCTCCTCTCTCCTTACTTGTATATTGTTTATCCTTGATATAAGCTGGAAACATCTGTGCAAAGTCTTTAGTTTCTTAATTTTGTGTCGCACAGGAACAGTGTTTGATGGAATATTTCCGGCCTTCGAAAAGGGTAAGAATTGTACATTTTACGTTTAGCTCTATGAACATTATATCAATAATGATTTATCAATTGGATGTTTTGATTATACCTATTATGTTTAAAATTAGTTTAACATTACAAAATTTTATTCGTAATATTTCTTCTTATGTTATTTATCTTTGTTTTCAAAATCTTCTATTCTTATGTTATACAGTGCGTCCCAGAAAAAAAGAAACCGAGAATTATCGATGTTTTATCATAACTTAATCACAATCATAATTATATTCAACGAATTCGTTTTCACTGGCTGCCTGCCGTAGCAACAAAAGGAATTGAAAAAAAATTCGTTTCGTTGAAGATCAGCCACAGACGAAAGACGTCATGCATGGCTGATTGTCAACGAAACGGAGTTAATTTTGTTCTTCTCATTTCTGTTGCTACGACAGGCAGCCAGTGAAAACGAACTTTTAAAATCAAGTTATGGAAATGCAAGCATCACTTTAAACAAACAAAACTTTGTTATTCCTTGCTCATTTTTCCTGATTGAGGTGTCATATAGTCCTATTTGTAGTAGAGCTTAATTATGATAGTCTTACTCGTAGAGCCTGGATTAAAACAAACATCAAGTACAATCGCACATTATGGGGGATGTTTCACGATAATCTTTAGTCGAACTTAACTCTAAGTTGGACTTAAACATTATGGAGAGCCATTTGTAGCCTTAAAATAGAATATATGCAAAAGCGAAAATTCAAGTATTTGAGACTTTTTATATATTCCACATCAAGAACAGGAAATTTCCTTGATAATAGAAAATATGACTGATTTGAATCAAAATTGTATGCATTTCAAAATAACTTTTAAAAAATACTTTCAAAGATGCTAACGGACTTGGTATGATGTACTCTAGTATAATGCAGGATTTGTAAATCGAACAAGTGAATTTTCCGAGTAATATAACAACAACAACAAAACTTTTAAAAAGGAGGGGATATTTTCGTCGCATCGAAGTTCGGGATTGCAGCAGATCAGAGCCCCTCATCTGCTATTGTCATTTGTTTGTTTTTTTCTTTTTTTTCCATCATTTATTAATTGAACAATACGTACATAAGAAACACAAAATTATATCGATTACAAAGAAAAACGCATGCATTATACTTATATCACAAAATTAATTATACTTTTTTGTTTGTCATAGACAACGTTTTTTTTCCAGAGGTGATACTTTTCAACATTTGCCCTGCATAATATTTCCTTTAAATAAATGTCGAATGTGTTTGTAAAATTACTTTTTTCTTTGTTGCGTATATAAAATATAAGAAGCTAAATGAATTAATAGATTTTTTTTTAAAACTACATATTTTGAATTTATATAATCGCATAGCTTGCCTACAATTATATCACTGTATTCATTTTTTTCATTATCAAACAATACTTCTGTTTTTCTGAGAAAAATTAAGACCTTGTTCCCAATAAATAAATGATAATAATTTTCTGTGCATTTGCACTTAAAACAATAATCATGATCAGATCTTTTGAAACGATATAGATATTCTTCACATGCTAATAACTTATAGAGTAGTTTAAAATTAATCTGTTTTAATCGTTTTTCTTAAAGATACTATGTCCCTTTTGCAGCCAACCTCAAATTCGGTAGAACTTTGCAGGAATTACGAATATGTCATGTATATCCTATCTGTGAAATTTAAACGTTATGAGTGTCCTTATATTCAAATTATGCTAGACTTCACTGTCAGACACTATTGTCAGTATTGAGTGACTGACTGGCTTATTTTCTTCTTTGGTAATAACATACATAAAATGAGCTGTAAAGGATTTGTCTACTACAATAACCCACTTCTTGCAATGGCCAAAATTAAACTGATTAAATGTTTGCGCAGCATAAAACGTACGACCATGCGGTACAATGGTCTGAAAATCAAGACTATTACTTATTGGCTTTATAGCTCCTAAGTCGATTTGACAACTAATAGTCGTTATTTTCCCACTTAAAGACATTTTCAAGCCCCATTCTTTTGAGGGGAGTTCTAAATTAGTATTATATTTCAAATGCCATTGGAATATAACCTTTTCATTTATTTGGCCTGCAAAAGGGATATAGTACCTTTAACGTATGCAAATAATTGTTCATATATTTGCCCAGGATACTTTTTTCAAAAAAAAATTCCCAATAAATTTGAACATTTGGATTTATAAAGGTTCTTTTGTGACATTTTTATTTTTGTAACTGATAAATTATGACATATATTTGGTGTCGATTCAAAATAATGAAGACTTGTATTTTTATATGAACAAAAAACAGTTTCATATTTTAATTGTCTTTTCCAGTCACGAGGTATACACTTCCAAAGTAATTCAACCTCACATAAATAATTATTTTTAATACAAAGTAATTCTTTTGCCCGATTTACATCCACATCTGCTTTCGCCATTTGTTGCCTAAACTCTTCACGATTTTCGGTATTGGGTAACCAATTCTTCATCTTCGTACGTTTGATTAGATTTTTTTAAACGAAATGTCCGTGAAATTCAAGTGGGTTAATTGACTTCTTCTATTTTGCGATCGCTTACATGAAGTATTCCTACCACCCTCTCTCTCTTTCGTTAACTCTCCCTCCTCTTCCATTTTCCTCTATTTTTCTATTTGTATGAAATGTTTTATAGTTTGTTTATATTATGTTTTTATTGTATATTTTGTGTATTTTTTATGTGTATTGTAAGATATTTGAAATGTAATGTGTTTGTTACAGCAGGGCTCCCTTGGAAAGCAGGCCTTGCGGCTTGGGTGGGACCACCCTGCTTTTATTAAGAAGACATTAATAAATAAATAAATAAATAAATAAGATATACTGCCACGATTATTACGTCAGTCTGTCTTTCAAATTGTTTTTGCTCATTTCACCACTAAGGCGTAAAGGGAGAGAGAGAAAGAGAGAGAGAGAGACGGGGAAATGAGGGGATGTATATATAATATATATCAATAACATAATTATATCGGACGCCTATATATAGAGAAGCGAAAGAGAGGGGAGAGATAGACAGCGAGAGAGAGAGAGAGAGAGAGATGGAGAGAGAGAAAGCTAGGGATGATTATTTATCAATACATACATACTCATATCACATGCCTAAAGAGAAGAGAGAAAGAGAAAGAGGGAGAAAGAGAAAGAGGGAGAGAGAGAGAGAGAGAGAGAAGGGTAAAAGAGGGGGTGATTATATAATCGGACGCCCAGAGAGAGAGAGAGAGAGAGAAAGAGAGAGAGAGAGAGAGAGAAAGAGGGAGAGAGAGAGAGAGAGAGAAGAACAAAAAAAACGGGTAAACTGACAGCAAGTCACACACAAAATTAATACACATATTCATAAATAATATATTATGCATTTGGAAATAGGTTTGAGACTGACTTAATAACAAAGAGTTGTGAAAATGTTTCTTTTTGGGGAATGGCAGATTTTCTAAGGATGTGATTTATTCACCTTTACATTCATTTTATGCAGACTGGTAGCGCATATTCTTCAAAAAAAGAAAAAGGTCTTCTACGTGAGTCGTGCTTTATAATTTCTAATAACCAATAACAAATTCAGCATTCACAAACAAAATCCTAAAATTATCGAAATGTCTAAAAGTTGTGATATAACTTGGAGAACAAGACAGAAAATTTGGAGGCATATTCTTGACATCGATAAGTCATGTATTCTTTAATCTGAACACGTGCACACTAATTAGGGTCGAAACCGTATAATGGTCTAAACTTGACAACTGTCCAATAATTCGTCCCCGAAGGCCATTGCAACACATTGTGCATGGCGTTGTCCAGCAAAATGTTGGACATAATAAGTATATCCCGGAAGTATATACAATAGAAAAGTTGGAAACCTTTCAACAAAGTAATTAGTTTCGGTCTACATCAACTGAATGAATGACTGACCATGACGCAAACGGCCCGTCTACCAGATTCACCCTGTAAAAGTGATGTCCTGAAACCCGAGTTAGCAGGTGCGTTCAATCGAATTTTCGAAGCTAGAATCACAAACATGAATCACAAATCAAAACGCCATTACAAAAAACAAGGTCACTGCGGTTAGCGTTCAAGCGATTTTTCATCAACGCTGATTCTAGCTCATTTCGAGCCCAGCCACTGCGGATCACACTTGCAGTTTGACCCAGGAAGTAAAGGTCAACTTCGGCGCGCGCTTTTTGGAATTGTTTACGGCCGACTGTCGACTGCTGTTTTGTACGGAGCCCGGGAAGGGACATGGTAAAAATATTTTTATCTCGTTAAAACGAGATAGTTATCTCGTTTTAATGAGATAGTATCTCGTTAAAACGACATAGTATCTCGTTTTAATGAGATAGTATCTCGTTAAAACGACATAGTATCTCGTTAAAACGAGATAGTTATCTCGTTTTAATGAGATAGTATCTCGTTAAAACGACATAGTATCTCGTTTTAATGAGATAGTTATCTCGTTTTAATGAGATAGTATCTCGTATAAGTCCATTGCATACTGGAACCGGGTGGTCCCTGTATTAAGCCTATGGGAGTGAGAGAATTCAGTAGTCCACGGGTTAACAACATAATACCCGCGAGGCTAGACTAGACTGCGCGCTCGCTGCTTTATGCAGTAATAGCGTATATAGCCAGGCGGCCATGCCATGCCAGGCCTTGTACTTGTACGTATGTACTACTTAAGTTACGTCTACGGTAGATCGACTGAATTCAACCAGAAGTTGCCGGTTGCAATCGCGAGGATTGAAGGTTAGTTCACTTCTTTTACTTATTTATGGCCGGGTCATTCAATGTACAAGTGAACAAACAGCTAATTTAACAGATTTGCTCTTTTTCGCGATCAGTTCTAGATCTGTGTAACGTTAATTTTAAGACTGCTCAATTCGCAGACTGCAGTCCCCATCGGAAGCGCCCTGTTCTGGGGCCCGACGCTTCAGGCTCTCCGCGGTCTGGGTCTGGGACCCTGGCCTTGGGCTTGGCCTGCTGGGAAGGCTGTGGTCATTTTGCAAGCTAGAGACAAAGTAAACTAGATCTAGACGTTACTTTTTTACGTGCTCGCATTGCAGTAGAAGTGTGGAATTTTCGTATGTATAGATCTAGACTAGTCTAGATATACGAGGAAAAAGCAAGCAAATGTCAGAATTGTAAAAAAAAAAAAACCTCATATTCCACGGCTATTGATGTCTAACAAAGTTAGTGTGTAGAGTCTAGATCTAGATTCAACTATGCAATATGCAATACACCGCAACTTAGTCTTAGTATAGATCTAGATCTATTTCAGCGACGCGGCGGATCCAGGATTTTTCAAAAGGGAGGGCCGAAGTTGGACCGAAATATCAGCCTCTATTTGGCGTTGACGGTTGGATCCGCTGAGATTGCATATCTGGCTTCTCTAAATGCCTCTGAGCTCTGTCATTTTGTCAAAAGAATGCCCCCAGAAAGATGGTTATTCCTGTCTAGGCCGAAGTCTGCTCAGCCTCAGGGCCTCATCAGGCACCAGAAAAATTCGCTGACCAGCGAAAAAAGTGGAAAAAATGATCCTTAGCTTTTTCAAGTGTCTGTTTAGATCTAGTCTAGATCTACCCAAAATATTCCTTGACAAGCAAACAAAAAGGAGAAGGGGAGGGCCATGGCCGATTCCCCCCCCCCTTGATTCCGCCACAGTATAGATTCTATGACTATGTTGTTCAAATTATTTGCTAGGTACCAGTTTACTAGTAGGTTTATTGTCACCCTTAGTCCTTACACTTCTAGATCTAGCCATGTAATAACATTAACAGTAACTGGGATTTTGTCAAAATGTTTACATTTACGTATCTAGAGGCTAATAAAAAAACATCAGTGCAACACTGTTGAGTATGTTGAAGCACTAAAAATAGAGGATTTATTTATTTAATAAATTTACTGTCTTCATATTAACTTTCATTGCTAACATGTTGAGCTATTTGATAAAATTATTTTTTTATTTTTTTTTTCTCAGTAAATTTACAATATTTTAATGTTTAAATGTTGCTGAAATAGTTACTTGACAAATGCAAAGTAAGATAAATAAACAAAAACCAGTGTGCATGAAAAGTTTATTTAACCAGTTCTTTGGGGGGAAAAACACTGTTGCCTGTGCGTTTTAGATAGGTATACACCATGGGGCTAACGTAGTGAGCCCCATGCCTGCAGGGGTGGTTTATTGTACTAGTAACTACGAGTGTAGAAAATCAATAAGTTTTGAAATATTATAAATAAGGACTAGACCTAGACTGCATGCATGGCTGGAATACTCCCCCAGGGAGTGGAGAATGTGCATACATTGTGTGCGGGCAATCCTGATTGAATCCGATGACCGGGGACGGGGTAATAATAATCTGTAAACTGCTTAGATACATTATTAATGTCTTACTCTTAAGCACTATAAAAAAGCGGATTATTATTATTATTGATTGTGTTTTCAATATTTTAATTTTGTATTCATTGTATTTCTTCAGTAACTTAATGCCTGGCTAAAACATCGACAAACTTAAACTAATGTCATACATAAGTGTTAATACATGTGTAGGATCTACATCTATATAAGTTAGTTGGGAGTAGTCTCTAGACCCTATATCATACATGTATGTATATGGTCCTTCCATGCATGGACCACATACTCATCTCCCATCTTCCAAAAAAGAATAGCTAATGATTTTGGTAACAAAAAAATTGCCTCACTAATCATCACTGCTTCTTTGTTTTCTGTCTTCAGCGTGTTCTTCGGCAACACTGAGGCAGCATTTGAGAAGAAATATCCCTCAGGCTCAGCTCACCAATTGAAGGACAAGGACAAGGGTTCTATCCAGAGTTTCCAAGTAAGATAATTCCTCTTATAATCCTATTCAGTGTAAGTGTTAAAAAAAGAAACTGAATTGAAATAAGAAATTAAATTAGATAGAAGAATAGGCAGCAAGATGAGGGGTAATGGAATGTAAGTTCTAGGAAAAAGTTTTGAAAACACTTGTAACGATTTCTGGATCTGGATGTATACGATGCTGGACCAGTTGGTATATGATTGCAGCAGATGAGAGAGGGCGCAAAGAATAGATAGTTGAATCGTAGGTGGCTCTTCTCAATCTTAGACTTGAACACCTTTGATGATGGACAGACTATTGATTACTTATTAGAGTACAGACTCAGTAATTTTGAATCCAAAGGACCTGTAGATGGTACGTACTGAACTGATAGACTCTTAGAGCTGTAGCGTACCTTTAGGATAGACCTAAACAATCCAATTTTCTGGGCATTAGTTGGCACATAACCTTATTCTTGAAACTTATGACCTAATTCTTGTGCAGCCCTGATATGGGTATTAATTGCACAGGTCACTTACTGACTTTTTCTTAAATTCTCTTTTTAGGCACAATTTTTGTAGGGTGTTTTCTGCAGCTGTAACCCATGCATACACACCCTAGCCTCCAGCACAGCAGTGACCACCCAGCTAATCTCATTCAGGTATGACTTTCTGGGATTGATTTGAAGCTCAATGAACAGAAGGCTCAAGATTAGCTATTGTCACCTTCATCAGGGGTGGGTTCATTAGGATCAGGGGTGGGGGCTAAATGGAAAAGGGAACAGATTTATCAATTTTTTTGGTCAAAATGCATGATCACATGTAACCAAACTTGGCAGGAATCATTCAAAATTCTACCCATGGATGTACAATTTTTAATCATGCATGTAACTCAATAAATGTCTTAAGATTGTTCTAAAGATAAAAGAAAGGGGCTAAAGTGTGGTTCGATTCACCTCTCATTCCATGTGTATACCTTCACCATGTACAAAGTCTATGGCACTAGACTATGGAAATGGTAAGCTGTCACTGGCAATTCAATGCCAATGATGAAATAAATGGCAGTGCTTGGAGTGGTGACATTAACCATAATGCGATTGAAGTAAATAATGAAATGTTTCATGTATTTAAAAAAAAAAATGCATTTTCAGATTGTAACCGATATATGTATGACTATAGGAATCATCCATGAGGATAGGAGCTCAATGTAACTTAATTCAAACTCTCTGCAAGTGAGAATCAGCAACAGGTAAATTATTCACAAGTTGCATATTATAGTAAGTTCATACATGTACCTCTTCAAAAAACAGAAAGACTAAACATTTTATTATATTTCTGGAAATGTAGGTAATTGTTAGTCACTACCTAAGCCCCCCCCCAAAAAAAAAATGCATCATAAGTCACCACTGTACCCTCCTTTTTTCATTTTCAGCATTTTCCTTGGCAACATTGAGGCAGCATTTGAGAAGAATTAACCTTCAACTCACCAACCTGCTCTTAGGCATTTTCTTCAAGGATGCTATCCACAGATGCCAAGTAAGTGGAACAGATATACGAGGTGTGTCAGAAAAGTTCCAGGACTGATATCACAAAAGAAATATATACCCAAATTACAGACTTTGAGTTTTCCCTTTCGAAGCAATCCCACTGGAGTCTTACACAATGTCCCATCTTTCTCTGCCATGCCTCCATGCACTCCTGAATGATTTTTCTTGGATCCTCTGCAGCTTTTTCCGTCCTCATGGCCATGTTTACATCTTCCACATTTGTAACTCTTTGTGCGACCAACCATGAAACCCCTGTGTGCCCCATTATTTTAGGGAGTGACAATTTTGCCGCATTCTGCCAGACACTCCTAATTCAAAGGGCTGTAACTTTTTCTGCAATCGTTATGAAGAAAAATTGTGTCCAGCAAAGTTGTCTAGTTTTGTATTGGCTTTCCAGTCATATATATTTCTATTCTTTGGCTAATTTTGGGATCCAACACTTAAGAGGGGCGTTAAACTGTTATCAATCAAGCATCTCAACACTGAGCAAACAGATACTATAAATTGGTTCTTTCTATTGAAGAATATTACTGCCATTTTACCTCAAATGAATATTTCCTTTGTTAAGAAGAGTGTTTGATGCTATTCTAATTAAACAAGACAAAAATAAAAGAAATCCATTCCTTTCTAATTTCCATACGTCTGGGTCATTCGCTCTAAAGTTTGAACGAAGTTATTTTCATGACAAAGTACTTCTATCCATGAAATTTCATCAAAACTAGGGAGGATGTGCCACCCAAGACTACTTCCCTTGAATGCCGTACTATTTGATTAATATCCGTACTATTTCAAGGTGATGTTTCCATGATCTGCTTTTAAATCTTGTTTGGTTTCTTTCTTCTTTTTTTTTTGCCACAGATGTCGAAGTTGTACCACCACAAGCTAGACAAGATTTTGATTCCGACTAACCCATTCTTTAAAGGTCCATTGCCTTAGGAAATTAAAACTTTTATGTCTTGTATCAAGACCCTTTTAAAGCAACATAATAACAATTGTTTCATAAATAAATGCCTCCTTATATTTTTTACAATTTTTTGAAAACCTCTCCAAGTTGCTCGTCTAATGGTGGACCCCGCCCTTAAAATTCTCAGAGTTCCTCGGAATGATTGACCAAAGGATTAGTGATGTTATATCAAGAACGATCTCCGCTTAGGCAAGCTACGGTGCTTGCTAGCCAGCTCTGCAGGCATTATGTTTTGTACACAAACATAAACAATTACTTTTGTTATTAAATAGTGTGCTATGCATCTTTACTTGTTATTTATTGTGGTGAAATTTCACTAATGGCCCAATTTTAAAAAGAGAGCTATACCATGAGTCGAAGAAGATCGTAATTGATTTGAATGCCTGTATAACGTGTCAACTAAATGCATGCTATAAAGAATTTCAAAGGTAAGAAAAAAATGTTTCATATATCTAAGTGACTGAATGTTTTTCGTACTACCTTCTTCTCAATTTAAAGAAATATTGAAAGTGGTATATCAGAGTGAAGAAACTTGTGTTTTTCCCTTTACAAGCTCTGCTCTTTCTTACTTCACTTTCAAATTTCCTCTCTTGTTATATAAACATTTAGCGATTGCTTTACTTCACACATTCAAGCAATGTATACTATCCCTCCTAAAAAAAAAGTTTGTAGATGTGTTAACAATAGATATGGCGACGAAATGTATCAGCATCTCTGAAATGCCTAAGCATAAAAAATGTTGGCAATTTCTCTGAATTTTATTTTTTTAATTTTTTATGGAACATTGTTTACATTAATTGCCTAGTTCTTGGCATGCAAATGGTGGACACTTTATTAATTTCTTTATATTTTTGTGCTGTACATATGTAGAGGAATCTTGTCATAAGCAATCGTGTTCGTCTGCCAGAAAGTTTTTTTTTGTTTTACTCGGGAAATTGTGAGGATTGTTTATTATATTCGTACAATGAATTTCAGTATGTTATGTTGTGTTACGTGTAAGCGACAATTCATTTTTATAACAGCTCCTATCGTCCTAGCATTCATTGATAGTAGGCCTATATTGTGACACATTGAGATACCTTGAACTTGAAACTACGTTTACATCTTTTTCGAATTCACGAAAATACAAAAGAAAGATGTACAATAATTGTATTCACATTTACAACAGTTTGTTTATTACACATAAAATAAAGTATGTTTTATCACAAAATCAGTTTATTTTCCTTGTTCTTTTGTTTTGGAGGGAGGGGGATGTATTCAGAGCAAATTCTAAGAAGCAAGATGGTGAACTTTTCATTAAAATGGGACAAATAAGTTGTTATCAAGTTTTGATAGTGATTAAAATGTACAAGATAATAGACATGACGAAATTAAAATAACATGTCCCTCTTGCTTCAATATTGTTATTATACATATCTTCCAGAGGGATCTAAGTCGAGTTCTATAATGAACTTTTCTCAAATTCAGTCTAATTTTGATGAAATTGTTACTATCTTCATTTTGTGGATTTTGCTCTGTTTATTTATTTAATCCAATCTTTAACTACTTGGCTTTTTCTTGTCACGTTGTGATGCATGTGTTTGAATGATTGTACATGTCCGATGTAGTATGATCTTGACGATGTTCTTATGAACGGACGACTGATGTTGGTGTGAATATGTTTTTGAGTTGGTGTTGGTAATGTCAGAAGGATGTTGGCATGAACTGGAAAGGGGAGGTACAACGTCGGCACATGGTGGGATACGGGTTGGCATAACGTTGCTTCTACGTCGGCAAATGGTGGAGAAGAGGTTGGCATAACGTTGGTCTAGCATTGGCACATGGTGGAGGAGGGGTCGGCACTTGGTGGGAAAAGGGTTGGCATTATGTTAGGACAACGTCGGGGAGACGTCGGCACATAGTGTAAAAGGGGTTGGCATTACGTTGGTCCTACGTCAGGGAGACGTCGGCACATGGTGGAAAAGGGGTTGGCATTACGTTTGTCCTATGTCGGCATATGGTGGGATAGGGGTTGACATGACGTTGGTCATACGTCGGGGGACGTTGGCCCGATGTTGGCTTAATGTCATTTCGTCGTTGTCGAGCCAACGTTGGCCCGCCGGCAAGAAAGCCGTTGGCCCAACATCACATTGGCGACGATGGCGCAACGTAACAGCCCACGACGTCGGCACGTGGTGGGATAGGGGTTGGCATAACGTTGGTCCAATGTCGGAACTACGTCGGCACATGGTGGGATAGGGGTTGGAATAACGTTGGTCCTACGTCGTGGAGACGTCGGCACATGGTTGAAAAGGGGTTAGTATAACGTTGGGCCAATGTCGAGGAGACGTCGGCACATGGTGGGATAAGGGTTGGCATAACGTTTATCCAATGTCGGAACAACGTCGGCACATGGTGGGATAGGGATTGGCATAACGTTGGTCGTACGTCGGCACATGGTTAAAAAAGGGTTGGGACGACGTTGGTCCAATGTCGGAAAGACGTCGGCATACGGTGGAAAAGAGGTTGGCATAACGTTGGTTCAATGTCGGGAGGACATCGGCACATATGGTCGGATAGGGGTCGGTACAACGTTGGCCCGATGTTGGCTTAATGTCATTTTGTCACTGTCGGGCCAACGTTGGCCCGCCGGCAAGAAAGCCGTGGGCCCAACATCATGTTGGCGACGTTGGACCAACGTAACAGCTTACGTTGGCCCCACGTTGGCGTAACGTCGTATTGTTATCTGGGTTAATACAGGGACCACCCGGTTCCAGTATGCAATGGACTTATACGAGATACTATCTCATTAAAACGAGATAACTATCTCATTAAAACGAGATACTATGTCGTTTTAACGAGATACTATCTCATTAAAACGAGATAACTATCTCGTTTTAACGAGATACTATGTCGTTTTAACGAGATACTATCTCATTAAAACGAGATACTATGTCGTTTTAACGAGATACTATCTCATTAAAACGAGATAACTATCTCGTTTTAACGAGATACTATGTCGTTTTAACGAGATACTATCTCATTAAAACGAGATACTATGTCGTTTTAACGAGATACTATCTCATTAAAACGAGATAACTATCTCGTTTTAACGAGATAAAAATATTTTTACCATGTCCCTTCCCG